TTTCCCTTAGTTTTTGATCTGGCAGATCATTTGACATGAAGGACACTACCCTCAAAGTGTACTCCCAGCCTACTTATAATAATAATTTGCTATCTGTTAAATACAGTAGCAACTTCGTATTACGCCTCAACCTAATTCAAAAGGTTCCTTATTCAAACTTATCAAGAAAAGTGAATGGTGCTATTATATTGAATTAATATGTTGGTACTAAAGCTCTTCAGAGGAAGGGGTAGGCCAAAGGTCTTGGTTGATATTGACATGCAGGCTACTTGTCTAATGCTTAAATGTAAAACAAATGTTTTAAGAAACTGGTTCCATTGACAAATGCCTTTTGCCAAGGGTAGTGAGAGATTGTTCTCTTTCAAAAAAAAAAAAAAGTTGTGGCCTGAAGCACATTGATTAAAAGGAAAAAGAGAGTTTCCTTTCCAACAAGAGCATATCGATTTTATATGATACAGGTTCACCACTGGTGAAGATTTAAGACATCTTATGTTGTTTAGTGCCCAAACGTGGAGTTGCCATAGGTTGATTTAAGGAAAGTTTGCAGCCGGAAGTAGGAGCACTGAAGCCTAACTTGAAAAACCTGAGCTTCAGAAGGTAGTGTTTTATCTGTGATATCCCACTGAAAGAGAGCTAGGAAATATCTCAATAGCGTCACATGACTATGTGAACACTGTTTATCTGCATTAGTCTTAAACAGTTTCTTGAAGACCCATAGCTTCCTTACAAGTTATGCTGTAATAATATATAGCATATGCCTGTTTACGTAAAGGTGTATTCGATCTGCAGGGCTGATTTTTAAAGGTTGTGGGGACCTGCATTATGATTATTAAAATAGGTGGACAGGAATAGCGATCGGTCCTTTCCAGATTTGACCCTGAATATATGAAAGTTTATCGGTAATACCCTTGCAAGTGACACAAGATAACATCTGACACATTTTGAGACTCCTTTTCTACCTCACAAAGTCTTGTTTTGGGGTAAGTCTGAGGCCCTGTTCATATGATGTTTGTGTGGTTGTTGCTGAACAACTTCTTACACATGCTAAGAACTCCCTGTTGCAATTTTCAACCATGCAGATTTCCTGGAACCTATTAGTTTTCTTTCCAGGGTCTCACTTATGTCTATGGCTGGTGGTGTTGGTGCTGGAAACCTATGCTAACGTATAGGCCTCACTCTTCCCTGCAAAATCATTGTTTTAGGAACCTTCCTGTTAACACCTGGAGCCAGACTAAATGGGCAGTTTCCACAGATTATCTCCCTCATATTGTCTTTCAGGGTCCCCTGTCCCTCAGGAGCAGCATTTAACAGAGATCAGTGGGGGAGGCAGAAAAGTTCCGTTCTGCTGATGGGAAAATTTAGTCTTGATCCGCATCAAAACATGTGAATAATTTACTTTGGGAACATGATCTATCCCGAATCCTGTGTACAGATGCTTGAAAACATTTTTTTGACGGTCCAAATAAATGAAAGCTTAATACTGAGAAGATTGGGCTTCCTGTTGGTTGGAAAGAAGGGTAATCAAGGAATAGGTTTAAGCAAAAGCCAGGCTGGCAGCTTGAGCATGTTCTGGAATATCCTGGTGGCAGTAGTAGCCAGGAACATGTTTTCGAACACAGATTTGGCTCCTGTTGCTTAGACTTCCCAGTATCATCTCAATACTTGGGCCATCACCCAAAGATTCCTGTTGGTCATGTGCTTGCACTTTATGCACCATTGTTTTTACTTTTATTTCATCTGATGGTGGTGTCTGAAATTGTATTGGATTTGACATTTGAGGTTGCCCTCGGTTTGTGCCTTGACTACTTCAGAGCTGTTCTACTATGGGCTGCTATGGCTTAAGCTGCCTTAAGAGTATCAAGCTTTCTGAAGGGTGTTCAGAAGCTAAGCAGGTCTGGGTCTGTCCCATGGAAGACCACTCGAAACTATAGATGGCATTGAGTACCATGATGGAAGAAAGATGGAACATAAAGTGTAACATTGTTGAGGGTAAAAAAGAGCCATGTTCTGTATAGCAAAAACAGCTATGGTATCGTTAGCAACCTGATGGTAGTGGTGGCTGCTGCCAGGTCCTTCAAGTTGCCATTTCACCGTAAACTTACATATAGTTAGTTGTCCATAGGAACTTCCCTTTAGGACAAGTGGCATCAGCAACTGTAGATAGTTTGGGGGGGGGGGGGGTTGCATTGCCAAACTAGATGAATGAGAGTGCTGGCCATGGATGTGCCACAACTCAAAATAAAACTTTGGAAGACTCTAAATCTACAAATGGAAAACTTAGCTACCTTGAATGCTTAATATATAGAACTTCATCAGAAGGCACTTGAAATGCATGCTTAAGTGGATTTTTAAAGTTTGGTTGCCGTTAAAGATTTTCAAGCAGGCTCAGAGTGGATCCTCTCCTGATTTTAGCAGTATGGCTAGATCTGAAAGAAATAACTAGAATTCTCTTTAAAAGTCTGATGTTTTGATGTTTTAATATTTTTAATCTGTGACATCATCATTAGTTGCCTTAGGCTACAATCTAGTCACACCTATGTAGAAGTCCCATTGAACACTATGGGATTTACTTCTGAGTAAACATGCATAGGATTAGGCTCATGGTCTTTTCTATCTGCTTAGTATGTACACAAAAAATAGCCTATTCTGCTACAGTGTTTTTGCTTTTGTAGCTGAGATTAATGTTTGGATCAAGTCAAGCCGGCTAGTAAAGAAGAGACTTCTTAATAAGTACACACAGTTGGTCCCAGGATTTGATAATATATTCTTTTCATATGTTATTTTATATGGTATTTAATATCCGTTGGCTCACAGTGGGTTTTCCTATTGTCATTATAATTAATCCCCATTTGTTCACAAATAGATGTTCACCTACTCTGTGTGTATGTGTACAATATCCCCATTGACTAACAAATGGGAATTTGTCAAAGTGCTAAGAGAAACAAAATACTATTCCATAAAATCAAGTTAATCCTTTTTGTTTGCTGCTGAATTCTCAGAATTTCTGTTTAGAATGCCAGTAGGGTATTAATAAAGTAGTAGGTGAAGTCTTTATACACTTCACACATATTAAGTGGGTTGACAACATTGACAAACCAATCTGTGTCTAAACAAAATATGTTATCAACACGCAATACCCTTGAGTTAACGTAACCAGCAATGAAGTACAATTCTTCAGAGAGGAAAAAACTAACTGCAGACTTGAGACTTGTTTCTCATTGTTGTGCATGCAAAAAAAGGTTTTTGTCCAGAATGTAAATTTTATACATAAAAGTTCAAGATTCAGGTCCATAGTATGTTTAATTTTGCATAACATTCATAATATGCTGTATCCCATTCATGTATTTATTACAATTGTGCCTGTCCTTGAATCTCAAGGCAGCATAAATAGGTATTCCAGGTGGCTCCCCACCACCTATGAACTGACTAGGTCTCAAGACCTGCTGGCTTCAGCAAGGTTGTGATGCATGCATGGAGTCTCTGCTTACCATGATAACCTTTTGCATGTTCCAAGTATGCCTGACATTCTAATGAACATATGGAGGATCCCCACCATTGAACTTAGGTAGAATACTGTTTACGCGAATTAGAGTTTCTGTATGATTGAAGAGCCTTCTGAATTAGTGCTGTTTACCTGAAAGTCTATTCTGTTAAAATCAGCAGGATTTAGTCCTATAGACATATCTTTAGGATGGGTGCGCAAAACTAATTCATTTATTTAAGATATTTACTCTGCCTTGTCTCCTTACACACATGACATCTGTACCTCCTATTTCTAATTCTGAATGATAAGGGTTTCTCTTATTTCACAAAAATGTGGAATTTATTCATGATAGAAATTGACCAGTGACTTTGGTTCTACTGTGTTGGGGAGGACGATATGCAATTTTAAAACTCCAATTTGAAGAGTCCTTAAGGCAAATCCGCTCCCGTAGGGGGAAGGGAGCTGCAGAAAAGTCCTGAAAGCTCTTTGGATCTTGGCCACTTACCAGATTCCTTGTTCAGTTAAAAAAAAAAATGCATTACAACCTCTCATAGTTGCTAAGAACAGTGGGGGGGGGGAGCTAGTCTTCAACTCTGAGTGAGTCTGAACAAATGTGAGGTAATTAACTTTTCTTCCTCCTCAGTTCTTAGTAAATCTTTCAGGTTGTATATCTTATAGAAAATGTTTCCTACTAGAACTGAAGGATATTTATTACTTGTGAAGGTATATATAAGGGGTTTGTTCTTACCAGTAAGATCAAGGTTGTTAACAGCTATATGGAAGTTGTATTATATTATTACAAGTGGGGAACCTGCAAGGACTTTTCCCTGCATCCACTTTCCCCACACTTTCCCCTCTTTCTCTCCTCCTCACAGCTCCATACCCTGTCCTATTTCCCTGCTTTCTTCTGTCCTTCCCACTTACCAACCTCCTGGCAGCCCTGTACCACAATTCAAGTCCCTACGCAACTATGAAACTCATTGTGTGTTCTTGGCCAGTCACAAACACTCAGCCTTCACAAGGTGGTTGTGAGGATAACAAATGAAGAAAGAGAACCACGTATGCTGCCCTGAGCTCTTTAGCAGTTGAAATCATATCAGAGCCAGTTATGTTGATGGGTTAGAAATCATGATATACTATAGGTTGGATTAAATGAGGAAAGATAATAGGTGTAGGGCTGTTCTTTTCTGGCAAAGCATTTTAAGCCTGTCTTGAAAGCCCTTCAGCTTCATGTGCCTGTAGCACTGCTAAGAGAAGAAAGTCTAAGCACATGGAGGGGAAATCATTTACATGTGTAGCTTTCTTAGCAGAATGTGTAAGCACATGAATCAGCCCTGATATTAAATGTTATCAGCATTAAGTAGCAGAAAATCATGTAGCCAACAGCACAATTTGGAGGTTAGAATTTAATTTGAACACTAAAATTTCTGGACGTGCTAGATTTTTGTGAGACACCTATATTTTAACACTTCATAAAATCAGAGTTATAACTAACAAAATATCTGTTTGTCTGCAGAAAGCTATCACCTACCTCTTTCCATCTGGTTTGTTTGAGAAAAGGGCCAGACCTATAATGAAGGTGAGAACCATATTCAGTGCTGTTGATATCAAGACAAGTGTGCCTTATCAATTTACTAACTTGATTTTATTACTTCCTTTAAAAAAACAGCATCCCACTGAAATATTTCCAAAACAAAGAGGTAAGTGAAAATAAAAAATATGTTTAAGTATGGTATTTGGGTATCTGATTCTTTTTCTTATCTTCTCTTGGTTTTCCCTTAATAATAAAAACTTATGAAGCTGTCACCTTTACTAGGCAGTTAGAGCAAGTAACATAAAAACAGTTGTATTTTAAAACCTCTTTCCTAACAAGGGATTAGTAATAACATCATCTCTAGTGACAGTTTTCTGTCTTGTCCTAAAAGTCCCAAATTTGGCATTTAAAATGCGCTGAAATCTTAGTTTGAGTGTATATTTCTGAAAGTAGTAGATAAAAGATTAACATCATTAGCCCCATCCATCTTTGTATATTTAGCCTGATTTTTGGATCTGTACGTGTTAACCCAATTTAATCCTGTATTGGTTTCCTGTAGTTCTGCATGTATTGGTTTTCCTGTAGTTCTGCATGTAGATTTGCAGTTGGTGCCAGTTTAAGGCTGCATTCCCAATATCCAGAGCAGGCGTATTTTGAAATTCAGTGCCTCTTAAATAAGTGGATCTGGAACCCGGTGTACTCATGCAGTTAAATGAGATGAAAGAACCGTAGGGTGATAGAATGTGCTGGACTACTTCAATCTGCCCTTCTTCATCGGGTACTGTTTTTGAATGTTCCCCTACAGGGGGAACTCCTTGCAAATAAGGTCTGGCATAGTAGAGGGCATAGTAGGGGCCACTTCTTGTGCTAGTTTACTATATGCAAGGAGATCTATATGTTCCAGAACATTTTAAAGATCCATCACCTGCTGTCTTGAAGTAGTGCATTCCAATTTATCACTTTAGAACTCTCCCACCTCATTTCACCACATCTGTGGTGACTGTGTAGTTAGAAGCTCCTACTAGAAAGCAGGAGCACTTAAAAAGGCATTGCCTTAGTTTGTTCTCCTTCTCTCTCTCATTCCCTCAGCCCACAAAAGGTCAAATGCCTCTTATCTCCCCACCATTAAATACAGTTGGGCTAGGAGTGCAGACAGCCTTCTCCCTCTGGCAGTGATTGACAAGACCAGGTGAAAGTTCGAAGTAGGGAAGCCTCCTGTGCTTTTGAAACAGGCAACAAGGTTACACAAGGAATGAAGACATGATGGTAATTGTCACAAGGGAAAAAAATGCATGCTTAAATCATCCCTAAGACCAGGCTGATTGGTAATAAGCTTAAAGTGAAGAATGAGAAGGTTAGGTCACATATCAGACAGGATTGTTAACCTTTAAGAGTGATTAAGTAGTAGGATAAATTATCTGTGGAGATTTTGATGTGCAAACCACTGAATGGTGAAGGGCAAAAAACCCTCACATAGTATATTTAGTCCTATTTAAGGAGGGTGATGTGGGCTGTAGCTTGTTCTAGGTTTTTATAATTACTGTTTTTAATGTCTTTTCTTTAGCAATCCAGTGGGATGAAGATGGTCGTCCATTTCATTTTCTTTTTTACACTGGCAAGCAATCTTATTATTCACTAATGCACGTAAGTTGGGATTTTTTTCTAATGGCTCAAAATAAAATTACTTTCAGTATAATGTGCATACCTACCTTGTAATGCTGTTCTTAGGTGAAACTAATTAGCAGTTTAAGAAATTACTGTCTGATTTACCTTTTAAGCTTTAGTTTGTGTTCTGGTTCACTATCTATAAGATTTCAAAGGTTTTATGTTATGGTAAATGACGAGTTAAATTCAAAATCCATTTTGAATCTGTTCTTCAAATAAAGAAGAACTGCAGAAGGGACTTCTAATGAAAGGGTTGTTGTATAAGGAGTGCAGTGTTTTTTAAAAAGGGGATACGCAAGGAGAAAAAGAACAATAAAAGGAAAAAGAAAAGAGACTTTAAGCAAAAGATGGCAGGGGAGGTCCCCACACAAAAAGGCCAACCAATTTCACTGGTTCCTTAATTCTGGCCAAGGTCTATGAATCAGGCTTCTGTGCTCTCTGCAGGAACATAGAACAGGAAATTGTGTTTTCTGTGCTTTTTATGTTAGAGCAATCAGTTTAGGATGTTTGGTGCCTGTAGCTAGGAGTTGCGTAAAGCTTATTTGTAGCAATTATAGCTGCTGATCATGTGATTTAATTAAGATGCTACCAACTTTCTGCTTCCTGGATCTGAGTGGCTGCCAAGGAGTAACCACTTATTTAGTGTTGCCAGCCCTCCCATCTGGTTTAGGCATTGTGTTTTAGTTTTCTGAATCCAGAGGGGCAGTCCTAGTCTTGAGAGTAGGGGAAAGAATGTTTCTATGGGGGCTTTGTCCACTAATCTGTAATTTGGGTTTGAAACTTGTCACCATGAGTTTGTCTTCCCTTGCCTTTCCCATCTAGCACACTAGGGGACTGTAGCTGATGAACTTATATTTTCATCAGATTTTTGTTTTTGTGAATTGTAAAGTATCCCTAGCCTCATTCTTGGGCAACTGTACTGATTCGGTATGAAGTCCATTTTTCCATGGATTGTAAAAAGAGATTGACGGATGAATACAAGACTGTCCCTCCCCCCCATCATTAATTGGGTGATGAATGGAAAACAGTACAGTTGTGTTATGGCTGTAGTCTTTTGGACAATGGCCTCCATACACTGGTATATAATGTCCATGGTTTGTGCAAAGTTTCCCAGCTGTTTTAAGAAATAGGTGGTCAGTCAAATAGGCTGTGCAAGATGAGTGCTGCACAGTAAAGTTCAGGGATTCTCGGAGAAATGCTCGATAGACATCTGTTACTCTAAACATCGAGCGCCTGTGTTCAGATTCACTATGCTTTTACAGCTGCCACTTGTCAAAACAGCCAGCAAGGCAGTCTTAGGTAATCCTATGAGGTGCTTTGTGACTAAGGTTAAAAGCCTGAACTGGGGTTCTTGAAACAAATAACATATTCATGCTGTTTGGACCATAGGTATTGTTTGAAGACTTTGAGAGAAAAACTGTTGACTTAAGTGCCCATGTTTGTACTAACAACTTATTTAGTATGGGGACAGTGCCAAAACCTTGTTTCCCTCATTATCTATTGCTGGGGTGAGGGAAAGGATGCAGTCGCATTTATAGGGCTTCTTCTATAAAAAGATCAGCTTTACTGGTATTTTTTTAGAATGATCTTGTGTGTTTGTACTCTACACACCCAAAGGGACAAAATCCCCACTTATCAGGTACATTTATTTATTTATTTTAGAGGGAGAAGAGAAGAATTTTTTTTCTTTGGGTTGACCTTGGGCAAATGAGCTTCTTGCCCTGGCAGAAATGAAATGAATGATAAATGTAGAGTGTGTCTTTGCTGAGTAATGGAGCTGCAGTGGAGGCTTTCTAGAGAGGTTTTCTCCTGCACAGCCTGAGGCAGCCTGAGGACCCCTACTGTTCATTTAAATAGGTATGTCAAATCTGCCTCGAAACGCCGCTGGTTTGATCTGTGGTAATATTTGTGAAGGTTCCATATGGACTTGAGCCCCCCGCAGTGCTAAGAAATAATGTACAACGCTTCATGGTGCAGACGCAAATTTTCTCTGAAAAGGGATGCAGCGCTGCGTTTTAGCTGTCGGAGGGGATGATGGAGCTGACGCGCTAGGCCTGTCAACTTGTTACACGGATGGGTTGCACGCAGAGAGGCTGTGGAAAATCTGTGCCTTTTAGCTTTTCTACTTAATCACGGTTGTAGCATTGCCTTTAGACTGTATGCTACATTAATTCTCTTCCTGCCTTCTGCCTTTCATCCCAAGTTTCACGGGAAAAAAGTAAAGCATGCAGGTCTTGTAAAGAAGCCTTATCAAAGCAGCTGTCATCTGACAGGCCATTTGCATTTGTTTTGGCTGAAATGGAGCAACCCAAGGGCAAGATGTTTTGTTGCATTCCATCATAATGAAGAAATTAAAAAAAATGTACAAGGAGAACAACTTTAGCTGTTGGTTAGCTTTGAAAATGTATGTAAGGTTTTCCTGAGATGGAACCTTTCTCAAAGAATTGCTCCCCTTTCCACTTGATTAAGCCATCCTCACGTGAAATCCATTTGACAAACAAATGTAAGTTTTTTATAAGAGGTTTTAAAAGTTCGCTTGAGTAGTATTATGATATCTGCAAATGTCCTTATTAAAAATCATGGTGTAAATAATTTCTAGTGTTCTGAAGTAGGGGTACAGAGAGAAGATTCTGAACCCCATGTATAAGAATTAGAGAAATTCTTGTTAGGGTCAGAAGTGCTACTTCGGAAAGGTAAATGGAAAATTCCACATTATTTTTTGTTTCCTGCCCAGTCAGCCTTCTGTAATTTGTAACATATTAAAAATGGATGAAGTTTTGCCTAAATGTATATTAGCTTTCTGACTTACTGGTTTTTATGAATTCCAACAGAGGGAACTAATAAATCTGTGCCACTTTGGCAGGTAACTGTAACCTCTAAAGTTAGATATCCTTGTAATGCCCACACCTTCTGCCATCCATCTTCAACTCCTTTTCATATATGACTTGAATATTAAGGCATTATAACTTCAGCACCTTCTGTAGTCTCCTTTTTCACCTTTATTTGCGGCTTGTTGAATACAGTTTTTTTGGGGTGTTGCAGAAGTTACATTTGAGTCAAATGCACACTGAGAAGACTTAACCCTTCAACTCCTCAGGCTTACATAAGAAGACTGTAAAATGTTGTGCACGCTTCTGTTATGGAATATGCGTCAGTGCCTTATCCATAGCATGGGGAAGGTGACATATTTCATGCTGGCTGTGTCCAGCTGTACGTAACAAATTAGTGGATCTCTTCACATTTCACACTTTTCTACCCCCCATCAATCAATTAACCTAGAATGCTAAGAAAAATTTAAAATACATCAGTTTAAATATATGTTCTTTCCAAGGAACAGTAACATAAAATTTCATGTCTAGTGTTTTAGATATTGTTCATGTACAAACTTCTTCATCAGTTCCCCCACACACCCCTCCCAATTTATAACAAGAAAACTATCTGCAAAAGGCATGGGGTGTTCTTCCAGGGTATGTTTCAAGCATCCAGTCCTGTGATCCGTGCATCTTTAAAATCGGTTAAACCTTGTTAATTGACAAGATCAAAGATTCAGTCCTTCATTGTGTGACTATATATATATATATATATATATATATATATATATATAATTAGAAAACCTACTGTATAACAGCTAAGGCATGTATATTTATGACTGTGGGTTTTGCTTCTTAAAAACAACACCTATACTTTTTGAAAACAGAAGGTTTTTTCCCCTGAAATGTTTCAGATGTGAATGTTTGCCAGGTGATATGTTTTCCCCAGATTCATATAACTTTGCAAGATAGCACGTATCATTATCCTGTCCATTGATCTGTTCTCCTGCAAACAATTTTGCACATGCCTACGTTTACAGCTATACACATTCATAAATTTAAGAACCACCAAAGTGTTTGAGAAATGGACAAAAAATAAAAATGGGGATAGAATGTAGTAGGCAAAAACTTCTCAAATGTAGCCTGCTGGTTATTTTTTTTTTCTTTAAAAAGCTCTCGTCTGTAATACATCTGCAACTTACTGGGGCAGAATAAGTTGGTGTGGCAGAGATAAAATGAAACATCTCATATATCCCATGTCCCGGTAATACGGTGTTATTACTACCTTGTCCTAAGCAAATCTATACAACCTTATAATTGGACAGTAAAATGAATTGAGACCACAACTCCACAGAATGTAATATCTGGTGCAGTATCATTTTAAAAAAGGGCTTCCAGCTCTCCTGGTGAAGATAGAAACGTAAAAACTTGGGCTGTCAGTCCCAAAATATATCTGCACTTTGCAAAAGTCCAAGTGTTTCAAGCTGAATAAATTATGAAATTTCAAAATGTATTCTGAGTCAGAAGTTAGCTGATATGACATTGGGGGAAGTAGCTGTCCAGTCTCCATGCCATCAGAATCATTATGGGATAAATTGTCATGCCAGCTGTATTATCTGAAGCTTTCTGAATCTTTAGAGGTTTAAAGCCGGAGCATTCTCCTTTCATTCTGCATGTCTACCTCTGTTCTAAATTACAATTCTTGAGAATCAGCAACCTTGCAAAAAAGGGGCAGAGCTCTTAAACTGTATTGGGGAATTTCCCAGGTTCCGGGTTGACCTTTCCAGAGAAAAGGGTCCATTAGAAATTGCGTCCTTTTTAAAGGATCTCAAATTCAAATGCTAAAGAAGTTCTATTAAGCAAGAAATCAAATTATCCGACCTTTAGCTTTCATTGCAATGAAGGGAAAATCCTGTTATTCAAACCCCCTCTTGACTGAGAATCTAAATTCTCCCTCAGAGTAGGTCTAGTATATTTAAGACAATGGGGTCCTTATTTTTCTCTCTATAGAAGCACTTTCCTGACAATTCCCTGACAGAAATCACTGGCTCCCAAAGTGTCATCCCTCAGAAGCCAAACCCTTTCGCTACTGATCCAGACATTAGATTTCAGACCGAGACCAAAAGGCGAACCCATCTTTTCCCTCCAGATCAGCTGTTTTATTTCCTCTCTCAGCTGATGCTGGCCAATCATAGAGTGAGTAGAGCAGCCAATCACATAAGCTGTTCTCTCCAGGGAAGATTAACTCTTGAACTCCCTGACTTTCTGACACAAGCAGCATTTTAAAAAGCCTGCTTTTCTTTGCAATCCATCACAAACTACAATTCACATTTAATTCTTAGACTAAAAAAATGTGATGTGTGAATTGCCAGTTTGAGACAGTTCACTGGCAGGTCCAAAGAGAAGACAGTGTTATTTCTTTCAGACAATGGGCAACATTGCTGATTTTTGTTGTTGTTCGATATAATTTTTTATCAATCTTGATTAAACAAACTGGGTTGTGCCCTGCAATCTCTTTCTCTTACATAAGGAGTCATTTTCTGTGGAGCAGAACTCTCTGATTCCTTACCGCTAAATATACTATAACTACAGTGTGAACTTGGCTATTTCTGTCTTTGGGCAGGATTAATCTTAGGTGTCCACAGTCACATAGCAGTATGTAACATGAATGTAATTAAAAAAGGGGTCTGTCTGACATTGCTCCAATGGAAAGAAGCCATGGCTCAGTGGTGGATGACATACTTTGCAAACATCAGGTATAAGAAAGGTACCCTTGCCAGAGTACTATTTCCCTGCAGTTGGGTTCCATCTGATGCTTGAAAATAACTGGGAATTCTCCCTTTTTATTCTTCTCGTTTGTTGTAGGAAATGTATGGTAAATTACTGCGTATTCAGGCACACCAAGATCAAATGTGTGCTCAAGGAGTAGTTCCAGAGATCAAAGACCACTTGTAAGTTGCCTTTGAGACCATAATGGTAATGTTGATGTTGGGGAGAGGGAGCGTGGAGCAGGTGCATTTTTAATTCGATTAAAAACACATCATTCTGTAGGGTGCCATTTTCCTGGAGAATCCATTGACACAATTCCATATAATATGTTGCACTTACTAACATAATAATAAAACAATATTATGTCCATCGGACGTTTTAATAGCGCTTTAAAATTTTCAGCCAGGTAACTACTGGGAAAAAAGAAACTGGTGCTCAGGTGAGAGGCCTAGCTGTTCTGGTAACTTGGTTAATATTTTTTAATATCAGAGGGATATTGGGCTGATTTCTACAAATGGCAAACTAAAGGTGCTCACAGATATGAATCATTCCTGACTGTTCTTACCTCCTGCAATCTCCCGCGATCTATAAAAACATTGTTATTTTATACTAATTTTTAATTATGCCAAACGGAAAGCAAAAAAATAACGAAAATGATGGCAAGTCAACAGATTAACATCTGTTAAAGGTTTCCAACTATCTAAAAGTATGTTCATGCCCAATTGTTGTCTGTGTACCATACTTTCAAATGCTGGTAAAGTTGTGATGTCCTCAGTCCATTGAATAACTGGAGGTGGGCATTTATCTTTCCAGTGTTGCTATATTGTTTCTCAGCCTTTTGGCTAAGATCAAGTGAAGATCTATAAAAACTTGATGCTGAGGTTTGTGGAAGCCTCATAAACAAAAGGCCTTGAGCTAGAAGAATTAGGTGAAATCCCCCCCCCCCCCCCGGTTTCCTCTTTTCCTGGCTTTTTTTTTGCTGGCAGAAACTGCTGGTAGAAGGAAGTAACAGTGACTTTGACCCAGTTCCTGCTACTCAGTACAACCGTTGTGCACCCCATAACAATTTTGTCTGTGAGGGTCCTGTGACATGGCTTCCCTCATAAACACATGCACATCAGGTTATAGGTCACAGAGCTGCTAAAACAAAGGAGAAGTTGGGAAAGTTTGGGTGTGATTAGTTCATGGGATCTAACCCATTGTTCAAAAATAGGCTTACCAAAAAAAAGTAAGAAAATAAGGTTTAGTAACAGAGCAACAGGGGTGGAAGAGGAAGGAGAGTTAATGGACAGCACAGAACAGATAGCTATATGGACATTTGGAAGTAGACTTTAAGTGGATTTGCATGGGAAGGTGAAGATTTTGCAAAGTAAAGCCAATGTTAGAAAAATCTGGGTGTAAGAGGTTCTGTAATATTATAGGAAGAGATAAAAATAGAAATTTTAAAAGTTACCTGTATACTTAAACAGTAAGTGATAACAGTGGCAGAAGAGCCCCTATAAGCGATTCTATGTGTTTTTGTCTCTTTGAAGAATCTTGTTTACATTTTTTAGAACTTTCTTGGTCCCTTGTGTGGAATATACTAAATTTAGGCTTTTTATGTGGTTTCAGAATGACCACAATGGCACCAAAATTTTAAAAAAAGAAAAATTTATTTAATTGAAGTCATTGGCCACAAAAAGAATTGAGCAAGAATTGTCGAACAGCTACCAAAGAAAGGGAAAGAAACTAAACAATAAGACGATCTCCTTTCTGTAACTCTAAAACCTCTGTGATGTAATAAAGAGAACTAAAATAATCCTAGTTACCAGATTTCAGATTCTAGTCTTTTTAGGTAAAGGTTTCCCTTGCTTGAAAGCCAGTCGAATCCGACTCTAGGGTTGCGGTGCTCATCTCCGTTTCAAAGCTGAAGAGCCAGCGCTGTCCGAAGACGTTTCCGTGGTCATTTGGCTGGCATGACTAAACACCAAGGCGCACAGAATGCTGTTCCCTTCCCACCGAAGTGGTCCCTATTTATCTACTTGCAATTTCTTGCTTTCGAACTGCTAGGTTGGCAGGAGCTGGAACTAGAGACGGGAGCTCACTCCGTCATGCGGCACCCGGGTGTCGAACTGCTGAACTACTGACCTTCCACAGCCGGCAGTTCAGCGTCTTAACCACTTGAGCCACCGCAGCTCTTTTTAGTCTTTTTAAGTCACATTTTAAAAGACTTTCTTCTTTCGTAAGCTAGCCAAATGACTTCTACCAGAGAAGAGCCAGTGTTCTTATCAGAAATCAAACATTCTTTCCTAAATGTTTTACCTCAATTCTGAACTGCTCTCAAATAAATGTTCCTCCTTTAAACACCATCATAATTATCTCAGTTCTGACTATGGAGAATGCACAGTATTTTAGCAATTTCTGTGAATTCATTGCATTCCTTTAGGTCCTGATGGTACAGTAAAAATTGCTTTTGTTCTGTTGGCTGCTTGGTGTTATCAGTTGGCATCCTCCTAGGCAGGCACGTTGAAGGCCAGCTAGAAGAATTTGATATAGAGCTTTTTGCCTATCTAGGAAGGCTGTTTTAGGTTAGCAAATTTAGCAAAGTGCGAAATTAAGATTTTGTCTTCCAAAACTGTGCACTTTGTGCAACATTATCTGTGTGATGAGAGGTCACTTCATCACAAGATTGAGAAAGTAGGCTTAAGAAAGGAAAAGAGAAGTCAAGGAATTAGGAAAAGATTGGGTCAAGGCAAATGGAGGGGAGGGGACAGGAAATGGATACTGAATTGATCCGAATTTGGGCTGGGCTATATTTATCTTTTCCTCAAAGATAGGCTTTATAGTAAAGAGAAAACAACCGAAGGAATTTAGAAGTGAGACAAAGACAGAACTTTAAGGAAGACTGGTTGAAGAAAGGTTTCAAGATGCGTCTGTCAGAGAACAGTTTGGTTACTACAGTAATGAACTGTAGAGTCAAAGGGAATCCGAAATCAGAGGAGGGAGTAGAGAAGAGGCTCAGGGGACTGATAGGCAGCATGAATCCTGATGATAAAGTTGGAAGACATTGAAAAGACTGTAGTCAAGACTTTTTAAGGTAAAGGTAAAGGTTTCCGTTGCTCGAAGGCTAGTCGAATCCAACTCTAGGGGATGGGGCTCATCTCCAGCATCAACTCCAGGGGGTGTTGATCATTCCACTCCATGTCAGGTGCATACAAGGTCTGCAATGCACACTAGCTTGCCTTGCCTTCAAAAGGCCTTGGAATCTTAGTTTTAAAAATGTGGCAAATTCAACCCTATGCTACCTTGAATGTGACTAACTTCATGCTAGAATAGACCAGACCAGCAACTAGCCTGTCTTGGATCAAAGCAGAACTCAATATGATGTTCCACTCCCATAAGACTTCATTTTGAAGGTTGTAGTCTTGTTTTTGTTGAAACTTTGTGTAGCAGATTCCAATGCATTACGAGTGTAAACATTTAATATGTTTTCTGTCTTAGAAACCTGCTGAAGATGAGCCTTAAATGCATTTTAGACAAAATTATCTGTTGATCCATTAATTTGTAAAGTTACATCTACTACTTTGTTAGATTTTGGGGGGTAGGGTTTTTGAGGAGGGTAAGTTTGAAAGTGTAACTTTTACTTTTCAAAGCAAAAGGTGTATTTCTAAATGAAGTGTGACTGTGTGTGTGGTCCTTAGCAATCTAACTCTAATTGCATGATTAGTTAAAAAGAGAATATATGTGATATTTTAAACAGCAACCTGATTGGCAGCAGATGGCTGATTAAGGAGGAATTGGAAGAAATGCTAGTAGAAAAACTGTCAGATCAAGATGTGAGTAATTAATCTTCTTTATTTAATGAACCCTGTAACCTAATGGAACAGCGACTAGTGGTTGCTTTAAGAATTCAGAAAAAAAGTGTCCTCCTCAGAGATGGGGATTACTTACGTTTTCAGTAAACCTCTCTCAAAATATTTGTGTACTCCATATATGTATGTCTTTGTGTATAAAATCACATATACCCACACCTCTTGATTCCTGTTGAATGTCACATAAATTTCGTGTGTCACTTTATAGGTTCAAAAGAAACAAGTTATCACAATATACAAGGAACTGCAGTTATAAATTTCAAGGACTCACCAGTGCTTAGAATGCATTGCTGTAATTAGTACACATGGGCCGTGTGTCTGTTAAACCATCTTCAGTACAATTTCCAAATAAAATTCTATACCACTTAATATGAGACCAAAGTTTCAAGTTGTCCATAATAATTCATATCAAATACATTGCATATAAAATCTAGTTATGAGTGTTAGATTTTACTAAAAATGTCAATCCCTCCCTGCTGCCGACGCACAACCACTGCCCCATACAATACGGGGACCCTGTAACCTTCCCATTTCCACAGAGATCCTCTTTTGTAATCATCAGAGAAAGAGCAAACTAGTTTTATATGTACACTGAGTTGGATCCCACAGCCCCCCTTCCACTGGAGCAAGACCCCTCACTTAATGGAAGGGAGTGGCAGTGATTTCCTTTTCCCATGCAGGGGTCATTTGGGGGGGGGACGCGGGGGGACGCCATCCCCCCGGGTGAGGTGCGGGAGGGCGGGGCCTGGAGCTCCCTGCTGGTGCCCGCTGGAGGTCGCCGCCGGCTGTGGGGAGGACACACTTCCGGTGATGTCAGGGGGTGTGGCATGTGCTAATGAGTTATGCTAATGAGTCCCCCTAGCTCTTTTTCTACGAAATGACCCCTGTTCCCATGTAAGAAGCATATTACTTCTTGTCCCATTGATATATGCCTGGCTGTTGCACCAGTTCATGCCAATAATCTCTCTGCTACTGTGAGCACAGCAAAGACTTCATTTTGTGGTGGCTCCTCTTCTGGCTTCTGTCATCTGAGCACTGGCCTGTGACCTCTGTTCCCCGTTGTTTTTAACATCTTACCAACCTTGCTGCTCTCGTGCCCTGAAGCCCTTTTCCTCCCATTTCAGTTCTTTTTAGCAGCCACAAGCAACCATGACCACTTTTCCGCCTAGCAAACACCGATGGCTTGCTTGTACTACACTGTACCAAGGTGATACTCCTGGTGTGTTAGTTGTTTCCTTTAGACTGCCCCTCTTCCACTCCTTTACCATTGTACAGGGTGTGTTTTGGTCACTCACCCCACAACTATATGGTTTTATGACAGATAACAAGAAACTTGGACAGTCTTTCTGAGGGAACAACTTGAACTCCATAAAAAAGATTTTCCTTCTGCCTCTCCCAAATAAGAGTTTATCTATTAAAGAAAACACAGCCAGGAACATTCTGGTGTTTATGCTCTCTGGCTTATGTACCATGTCTAACTTTTCCTTTGGTGGTAGAAAAGAGTCCAGTAGCACATTAAAGACTAACAAAATTTGTGGCAGGGTATGAGCTTTTGTGAGTCACAGTTCACTTCTTCAATATCTGAAAAAGTAAGCAGTGACTCTTGGAAGTTCATACCCTACCACAAATTTTGTTAAGTCTTTAAGGTGCTACTGGACTCTTGCTTTTTTCTGCTGCTACAGACAGACTAACACGGCTACACATCTTGATCTTTCCTTTGGTGCTGAATCATTGTTTAGTGGGTGGGCCTCTCTTTACCAACTTGCAAGGTGAATTTCCATCTCCTCAGAAATGTTTGCCCGTTGTGGAAGGTCACAGCTACCTCTTTAATTCTCAGTTGCCCAGGCCCTCCCCGGGGGGAGATAAAAATCCAAATAAGACTTAGTACTAAGCCCACGTATTATCAGTGAGGCATTTTACTTTCTAGTCACATGTTCAAGATGTAAGTAAAAAAGCACACAGTAGCAAAGGATAATTTATTTCAAGAGGTTGCCCTTTAAGTCAAGTATCTCTTGAATTTTTGAAAAGCTTGATTGTTTGGTTTTTAAAGGAAATCATAAACATTAAAGTAACTCCAACTGAACAACCAACGGCATAGACACACTTTTCCTCTGTGTATTATGAAATATAATCACCTCAGAAGTGGCGTTTAGTAAAATAAAATTATTTCCATTTCAATGTGCATATCAGCTTACTGGAAACTAGCTTGCCCATTACTGTTTTTTCAAAGTGTATTCCATTTCGACAGCCACTAAACGTTTCTTTTAAAATTAAGATGAACTTCATTCTAATGTGGTAAATCCTGTATTACAAAGGAGTTGGTTATATTTTGAACTGCAGATTCATTTGTTGCTAGGGTGAAAAAAGGAGTGAAGTATCTTTACTCGCATAGAAAATTATACATCTGCATGTTGTTTTGAAAGCAGCATGCAAATGTCGAAGTGTCATCCTGTCAAAGTTCTCAATAAAGCAGAACCAAAAAGATCAAGCATGTAAAAATAGAAGTTGTTGGCAAATGCAATTACACTTGCACCCCCACCCCTTAATGAATTTTTATTGTCTCCAGTATTTTCGCTGTATTAAACTGCTGGAAAGATTAGCGACATTGCCATGCTATGGCATCGAAGCAGATTATGTGCTGAAATTCCGCAAGCAATTACCTGTGCAATCTGAAAAACAGGTAATTGAACCCTTGAAATATGATGAACGAGGAGTGGCCTTCAGCACTGGAGAAGGTGATTTTTTTCTTGTTTTTCCTTAATGTGGAAAGGGATATATTTAGGGATTAAAAAGTAAAATGTACTCCAGTGTTGGCCTGGCTGTCCGTTGTGTGACACTAAATTTTGTTCCACAGCAAATACCTGCTCTAGGTACTGTACTCTATTAGATGTTGTTATATCTGTTTGATGATAGTGGAGGACCCACAAGGACTGGTGGGGGGCAACTCATTTCCCTTCCCCCACTATTTTTCCTCTTCCCTTTTTCTGAAAGCCCCCACAGCCTCCCCCCCATCTCCTGCTTTATTTTTTTCCACCCACTAGCCAAACTACTTTTATCTGCACCCCTTCCACCACCACCACCCCCATCTTCAGCTTTCCCTCCTTCCCCCCAGCAGCCTCTGCCTGGGAAAACTCTGACTGAGTGCATGATACCAGTTGCCTGGCTGGGCCCAGTTCTGTGGTGCTGGCCAAGCTGACCCCAGGCCTGAGCGAGGCATGCAAGCCACCTTGTGGTTCCTGCCAGGCCTGGCTTCTTGACTCCTCGGTCAAAGGGCGGAAGACTCTTCGGAAAGGGCCCCGATGTCTCCCCCTGCCTCTCACTGGCGGAAACCATGCCTTGACGGCTGACAATATTGTTGTGGATGCCACACAAGACTCTCGGGCTGTAATCCTCAGGAAACTTGCTAGACATTAAGTCCCATTCAGATCAGTAGGACTGACTTCTGAGTAAACATATTTAGATCAAGAAGTAGTTCTGCTTAGGTTTTAATCAGAAATTGGTTATTAAACATCTGCTTCGGATCGTTTTTCCTCCTGCAGGACCTAATGTATATTTATTTGCTTCCTTTATGGTCCACCTTTTGCACAGAAATGCAAATATTGCTTCTTACATGGTTTTTTAAAAATGACATTTAAGTTAACATATTAATTATACTTTGCCATGATCAAAATCATCTGTTCAGATTTCACCTTTAAGCCAACCCAATTTTTAATACAACAGTGACTCGGAGCAATAATAAGATCTATTCATTATGGCTAAGATTTTAACAACTTCTGTTTTAGTGCTGTTTATATTAAGAGCAATCATGGATTACCACCACAATGTTTAGAAGTTTTATTTTCATACCGGATGACTAAAACACATGAATATATGTTAAAAACCATGAATTTATGTGCCATTTTATGATAGTAGTAATCTACAAAATACGCATTTTACAGTGTAGACAAAGAAAAGATATATTTTTGAAGGATATAGATACAAGTGGCATAGAAAAATGCTTTTCCACTCCAGGAAGGATTCCTTTCATGAGCAGAAAACTCCTTCCTGGAGTTGCTGCTTATCCATGGCTCCCCGTGTGCATATATGACCTTTTACAAATTTTGTGTTAATGTTTTCTTCACTAACAGTTGTTCCTAGTCCCTCACTATAAAATTGGTCCCAAAGTTCAGTTTTTTCTTCATACTGCTCTAGAATCCTACAGGTTGAAAACTGAATCTGGATGCAGAAACTATGCCATTGTGTTCTGATTTTTAGTTGTGACTTAAAACCTAGTGCAGTATTCCAGTTCAACAGGTTTGTGGATCACTTTTGAGGCACAGTTCTGTGTATCGTGCAGCTCTGAGGAAACCTGTTCATTGATAAGTTTCTCTGTTTTAGACGTTGGCTGCCATTTTGAATTCTCAGAGCATGCTTCCCTGTGGGGGGGGGGAGTATTCATAGCAATGGTAGTTGTATAAGATGTTGTTCATTATCGAGCTTTTTCCACCACCGAAGACTATACACCAATTTTGTACTTATCTCTTTTTGGCTAGTAAAATCTATTCAGCAGTTTTAGCTACAACTACTTGTGAAAAGAAGGAAAGATTTGCTGAGGTTGTAGAAGGGTTACAAGTGTCTGTGCTTTGATGTGAGAAGGGAGGGCTTTCAGCCATTACCATTGGGTTTTCCAGCAGCTAGAGATTTCCCTACTTAATGGTCAGTTTCCCATACCTAAAACTAGTAACAGCCCCCAGCTGGTGGCTGTGAGAACACACTCTGTCTTACTACTCTTTCCTCATGACCTAAATCAGACTTGCTCAAAGGCAAGAGACTTGCTAGAAGACTGACATTTGGTACTTATCAGCTGAGCCTCAGGTTCAGCATCCGGTTCCATGATGAGAGTGCTTGTTTTTGCCCTTTATTGGTCCTCAAGTAGAAAATGTGCTTAGAAAAGTAGCTGCAGCCTTGGTCCCGCCTCTCCTGGAAAGGATGTTACATGACAGTCTTGGTGTAAATAATCTATGGAAGAGAAGATCCACTTTTCCTAGGATGTTCCCATCCCCAGCTTGCCATATATGGAATTTGAAATGCTAAAAGAAATGAATATATAATAAGTGTGTGTGTGTTTTCTTTCAAGGCCGTCGAAAGACAGCCAGAGCAACTGTTACCCTTTATGACAGGGGAAGTGGAAAAATTACCATAAATGGAGATAATTATGTGTTTTTCTTCCCTGTGTTGCAGGACAGGTGAGTGCATATAAGTTGAAGAGTTTGTTTTTATCTGTTTCTCAGCATTTTTTTTTTAATTCAAGGAGGCTTTCTGATAACACCAAGGCTGTAGATATTTTCTTAATCTCATTCCCAGCTTCATGACCCTCAAGAGCTGCAGTGATATGTATGCATCACCATTCATCCCTAACAGAAGCAAAACAATTCAGTGTTCACACAAAGGTCAGAAAAATGTGGAGGGCAGAGTTGAACATGCTAGGGGAGCAGTCACTGATAGGGGTCAGGATCGGACCCTCTTGTCGGCCAATTGACTCTGAATCCCCCCACCCCCGTGTTTTCTTCTCCCCAAGTTTTCAGTCTCCAGCCTCTTTACGTCACAGCCTTATAGATTATGTCCTCACTACCAGCCTCTCCAGGGAAGTTCTGCAGCATCTGTAGAACAGAATTCTTCTGAATCCATCCCTCTCCCAGCATGCAAAGGGTCTATGACAGTGGTGGCGAACCTATGGCACGGATGCCAGAGGTGGCACTCAGAGCCCTCTCTGTGGGCACGCTTGCCATCACCCCAGCCAGGCCCAGGCCATCATTAAAGTGTCAAATTCTCTGCCAAATAATTTTAAGTAACTGAAAGCATTTGGGATTGCTTTCCTTACTATGTTTGGATCATCTTAAGTTAATGTAGGAGTTGTTTTTTCTAAAGTAAAACCTCAGTATTCAGGTTAAATTGCCGTGTGGGCACTTTGCGATAAATAAGTGGGTTTGGGGTCACAGTTTGGGCACTCGGTCGCTAAAAGGTTCGCCATCACTGATCTATGAGATTCTGCCCCCCAGAGCTTCTTGTTTCTATTGTGAGCACTTCTGCATATGCGGTATGCTTGATGGGAAGAGGTGGCATATTTGTCGCCTCCTTCATTACGTTTCTGTAACACGGCAGAGCACGTAAGCACATAGAAATAAATGCATGATGATGTTGCTGTTGCAGGAGAACACTACTGGTAATTCACAAGCCTATGCTGAGGGGAAAGTAAAAGGTTGCATGGTTGCTAATCAGAGGTCTCCCAATTGTACCTTCATCCCCCAGAAACTCAAAAGCATTGAGAATTGAGCTGCAGTGACAAATGTAACTCTCAGCTCTCGGATCCTGGTTTTTTGGGGGGGTTTTGGAGGCAGGGGAGCTGTCCTCATTGCTAATGCTCTTAAGCTTCTAAAATGTAATCACACATTCAGAGCCAGATTTTCACTTTTCCCTGTTCTTCATATGCTGATAGTCAGTGGAACGATGCACACTCTCTGCTAACTTGTTTTTGTACTCCTGAGCCTCAAGTCCTTTACATCTTGTGGTGTTGAGGCTTAGAGTTTTGTGTCCTTCAAAGGAACCAAATGGATCATATATTTTTGCATCATATCTTTCCCTTTGTTTAACTGTGCTTGAATCTGTTCTGATTACTTTATTGCTCTCTGTGGCTGGTTTTGGTTGTTGGTTTTTAGTATATTGGATTGCTTAGCAAGTGCAATTTCCCTGCCTACCCTGGGTGACCCCTGTGGAGGTCTTTCCCCAGCATATCCTCTGCCAAAACTATAAGACTGAACAGCTTTTGCCTGCAATGTAGAGTCAAGACCTTGAGGCATGAGCCAAAATTCTCGCACAAACTAGTAGACTGACAGAAATGGAGTACTTCTGAATAGACCACACACTCCTTTTCTCCCATATGTGGGACTCTTTGCACTCGATTGTGGAAGGGTTTTCAACTTCTCAAACAACTTCTTTAAGGACCTCACATGGGTCTGACTCCTAGAACGCTTTGAAAGCAACCAGTAAGCGAATGTGTGCTAATCCTTTCATATCAGTGTTTGAAGTGGATTGTTCTGCAAATAACTGTAAAGAGCTCGTGTGAGACGACTATGCAAATTACACTAAACCATTTGTGGAGGCCTGTACTATGATCTGCTTATTTTTCAGGAGAATCACTTTGGTCATTTCTGTCCTCGGAAATGAGCCTATCTTAGAAAATGTTTTAGTGGTCTATGTATCATATTAATTGTTCTTACATTTTTAGTAATGGTCTCCCTTGTTGTCGCTATTCCAGGCATTTAAAGAGGTCTGTGACCTCGTAGCATGTCTATTTTAGCTCCAGAGTGGTCCGTTCACTTTTTTTAAAGTTTGGATTGACCACATGACATTGGCATGAGTGCTTTATCTCCTTAATCATTTTTCTCAGCCCAAAGCTTTCTCCACTCCTAATGGAGCCTAAACTAGAGCTGCTCAAGCCCCCCTTCACCATACAACGCTTCTACATATTTGCTTATACTTCATAGGGGCTAAGCCAGGCTATGTGAAACAGTTCCTGATTTTTAATTTTCCTGTGACAAATCCTGTGCTTGATAAGAAAAAAATATAGAATATTTTTATTCCTCAAGGATGGGTTGGCTTTTCAGAAAGATTATATTTCTGGACCCTTGGATCCCATCTAAAATTTCCTTCCATCCACAGAAGGGCAGTTTCCCTGCCTTTGGCTGCAGCCCCAGATGTCCCCGCAATGCTGCCACTAAGGAATGGGGGACCCCACAAATAGCTTGAACATCCACCAAGGGATGGAGGATTTAGTAAAAATCCCCCTTGCACATGTAAAAAAAATTAGGCAGGATCCAATCTGTGGTTTATTCTTGCATTGCTTATTATTACAGCTGGAATAAATGAGAGTTGATAGTGGTGTTAATGTGTTTTTTATTTACATATAAATAATGCTTTTCAGAGAGCAGCTGATGTTCCCATTTCAGTTTGTTGATCGGCTGGGGAAACACGACATGGTCTGCTCTGTCTCCGAGAGTGGGAGATCAGCACAAGCTGGCGCAATCCGCTTAGCGACTGCAAGAGCATTATGTAGTTTTGTTACAGAAGACGAAGTGGAGTGCATGAGGCAAGGTATGAATGCAAATAGGAAATGGAATCTGATTGTAGTTATTGCACCCTTGAGCCAATGGCATTCAGTATATACATGCTAAAATATGGATGGGGGGAGGATTATTTTAAAACTGTAGAAATGTTAGGTTGTGGTTGATATGAGTAATACATTGGGCAAGTTGGAAGAAAGATGCTCTGGCAAACACTAAGCCAGTAGAAGGCCCATCTAGTCCAGCATTTTGTCTCACACAGTGGCCACCCAGTTCCTCTGGAGGTCCAGCAACAGGGCATAGAGGTCGAGGCCTTCTTGCAGTGATGCCTCCTGTCAAACATTCTCTTCAACCCCCTGCTGTGCAGCTGACTTTCCCTTAGGGTTGCCAATCTCCAGGCAGGACCTGGAGATCTCCCACTGTTACAATTGATCTCCAGATAACAGAGATCAGTTTCCCTGGAGAAAATGGCTGCTTTGGAGGGTAGACCTTATGACCTTATACCAGGTCCATAGTTACAGTGGGACATCTCGGGGCCAAGCCCCCTGACTTACTGCCCAGGCCTCCTGACTTCCCATCCAGCTGGTTTATTTTATTTTATTTTATTGTGCACACCACAGCCGTCCCGCACCGTCGCCCTGCCTTGCCTCTTGTCTGTCTGTCTGTCTCTCTCTCTCTCTCTCTGCTTTAAAAAAAACTTTTACTCTCTCGTTGCTCCTGACACAGCCTGGGTGGGTGTGCGTGGGTGCCCCCTGACTTATTTAAATACACCCCAAAGTCAAAAATCTTAGCTACGGACTTGCCTTATACCCTGCTGGGTCCTTTCCCTCCCCAAACACTGCCCTCCACAGGATCTGCCCCCCAAATCTCCAGGTATTTCCCTACTCAGAGCTGGCAACCTTACTTTCCCCTCAGTTCCTGTTGCTAGGCAACTAAGCTTGGTTCTTTCAGTAAAAGGCAGTGGGGAAGGAGACCCTTTCTATGCCTATTTTGGCCTTTGGGAGAAGACTCCTTGGGGCCAGTTCTGACTATGGTTGCCAGTTCCAGGTTGGGAAATTCCTGAAGATTTTATGGTAGTCTACGGAAGTCAGAGTTTAGGGAAGGGAGCGGCCTCAGCTGAACAGAATGCCATAGAGCCCATTCTCCAAAGCAGTCATTTTCTCCAGGGGGAGAGAAAGATCTGTTTCTCTGGAGTTCAGTTGTGATACCAGGCAATACCACAGCCAGTGTGGTGTAGCAGTTAGCACTTCAGAGCAAGGTCTGCCAGACCCAGGTTCTTGCCGTGGAAGCTGAGTGGGTGATTTTGGACCAGTCACAGACTTTCAGCCTAACCTACCTCAAAGGGTTGTTGTACACGCCAAAAGGGGGAAAGGAGAATGATGTAAGCTGCTTTGGTCCCCATCCCCATTGCAGAGAAAAACTGTACTTTTCCTGGGGAACCATTCTTGCCAATCTCCAGGTGAGGGCTGGAAGGCACTCAGAATTATGACTGCTCTCCAGATGGAAGAGATCAGTTCCCCTGGAGAAAATGGTGGACTCTGTGTCCATACCCCGCCGGCTCGCCCCCCCCCCCCCCATGACAGCAGTCAAGGCTTCAGAGCACAGTAGAGGCTGCAGGTGGGGGGAGGGGAGATGGAAAGCTGAAGTCAAAGGGGCAAATAAAGGTAGGTCGATGATTGGCTAAGAGGGAGATAGGTTTGCCAACTCCAGGTTGGGAAATTCTTAGAGATTTGAGCGGTAGAGCCTGGAGAGGGTGAGGTTTGAGGAGGGGTGGAGCCTCAGACAAGTACAATGCCATAGACTCCATCCTCCATACCAGGGGAGGGCTGGAGATCACTCAAAATTACAACTGCTCTTCAGGTAGCAGAGATCAGTTCCTCTGGGGAAAATGGTGGACTCTGTGTCATTATACCTTGCTGAGGTCACCACAGCAAATTGACGCTGAGTGCCCAAGGCCGGGGCACTCTCCCAGAACCTCTTTCTACAGTTCGTTGTATTTATTTCCGCAACGGACGTTATTCCTAGTAATTTTATAAACCTCTATCATATCCCCCCCCCCATGCACCCCTTAGTCATCTCTTTTCTAAACTGAAAAGTCCCAGATTCTTCAGCCTTTCCTCACAGATGCTCCAATCCCCTAATCATCTTGGTTCCCCTCTTCTGCACCTTTCCAGCTCTGCTGGAAATCATAGGGAAATGTAACCTGTACCTTATGTCCAAACTATTTGTATGCAATTTGGGTTGTCCCCAAGTCGCCGTTTGTACCTTTGTAGGCAAGGGTTGATTCCTTCAGTAGTCTAGCCCCAAGCTAAACTCTAGAACATTATCCTATAGAGAAGAGATAAATACTGAGGATTTAGGCTTATGAACAAACTGGCTGCATCAAGAATCTTGGACTCCAGTTAGTCTGCATGCTAATGAATTTTGTAAAATAGAGCCCTGTTAGGGGGGCCTCCCAGGTTTTCTACTGAAAATATGTGAAATGTTAAAATCCTTCCAGTCTTTATTTCCTCAAACTACAGTGGAGTTCAGTTTGAAACATTTCCCTTCTCATGCCCGAAGTTCACCTCTCATTTTAAGTGTCAGACAAAAGTGCTGTATCTGAACTGCATAAAGTTACCCTCTTTCCCCCTGCAGCTGGTCTCCTGACGGTGGATCCACGGGTGAGAGAACGAAAGAAGCCTGGACAAGAGGGAGCCCGCAGAAAGTTTACCTGGAAAAAGCGCTAGATTTTGAAGTTTGAATTGTTACATATATGTTGTATTTATATTATAATAAAATGGGTTTTTTTCCGTTGTATTCAACCTGTGGATCAGTCACCAAGCAAAACGCCTACTAATCAGTTGGCAATAGACTTGCTGTTGACGAAATGGCTTTTCTACCAAGTAGGAAAAGGATAAAAGCAATAGGAACTAACACTAGTAAAGGCCAGGGAGGCAGCTGCACACGGAAGGTGTTAAGAAACTGGCAGCAGATTTGTGAGGAAGACAAATGGGAAAAGGTTGTGAGTTGCTCTTTCCTAGATCTACAGAAGTCACAAACCCCACATTCAACAGGAAAGAGCGGGGGCCATGAATATCTTCTTTACAAATGAGACCACCCTGTGTTCTGTAATCACCTGGAGATGTCAAGCATATAGGGATAAAAGATAAAGGCTTGTCATAGCTACATTTTGTACTGAGGAAGTGTGCATGCACACGAAAGCTTATACCCAGAATTAAACTTTGTCGGTCTTAAAGGTGCCACTGGATTCAAACTTTGTTCTGTCTTATACTAGTGTCACTGAAAATGCAGAACCATTGGTCTCTTTATAGCAGCTCTTGCAATACTTAACCATTTTCACGTTTCCAGTTCAGGCGACACCTTTGCAGTCATTTTCTTCCAGTGACACGTTTTGTACACCCTCCAAAAGTACCTTTGCAATTATATTCTAACTTGTGAAAAGAGTTGATAATATTTGTTCATAGAACATGGGAATGATGGAAATGACAGCATATTAAACATGGAAATGTTTTTGTTAGTATAACCTTTCCGCCACAAGATAGAGCTGTTTGCTGTAACAAAATCAGGCTTGCAAAAGGAAACCATTAAAATGTACAGTGAGGTTTGATGCAGTTGTATGTGTATACTTCAAAACAGTGGCCTCACTGTTGGAGCCTGAAATATTTCTTGGGCAACTGTCTTTTGGCAGTTCAAATTATATAAAATAGACATTCTCTTCTCTCTCACCCCCCCCCCCCCCAATCCCAGCCTGTGGGCACCATTTTAGAAGCATGCTTTGTTTCTTCTCCCCAGAGGGAAATGTCTCTTCTGAGATTATAATTCGTGCGCTATCTGTGTAAATTATCTAAAAAGGAGGCCCCTTTTTTTTGCAGACTTGGACAGATTTTCAGATTTATTTCTGATTTTCCATATGATATATAGATAGATTTCAAAACCTGCTTTCTATTCAGATGATTATTTTGGGTTCCTAAATTTATGTTACTAACAGAATCCTGAGGAGGTTGGTGTTAATACTGTGAGCCGTGGAAGTACAGATGTACTGAAAAAGTCCTCAAAAGGTTACCCTTCCCTGAATTTGATATGGTGAGCAGGGATTTGTTCCTGAGACTTTCCAGGCCTGTACCAGCTGTGTCAAGTTTTATGTACGAATTCATCATAGGATCTTACTGTGAGTAGCAAAATCGCGGAATGAGTACAGAATTCGAGGGAAACCACTGTCATCCGTGACGGTGGTTGATTAAGAAATCTGTCTGGCGGAAACCAGGGTGGCTCCAGTATCAACTTTATCCTGGACTCCTTCATGTAGACTAATTTCATCCGAATGATGTTGATACACAAGCAACAAGTTTCTGTCCTTTCTTACATTCCTGTAAAAGTGCAGAGGGTGCTGCGGTGTCTGCCTGTACGTTGCCAGAAAAAAAAAGCGAACATTTTGGACAGCTCTACGCTTAACCTCTTAAGGGGCCAGACATACCAATATAATTACCACTTACAATTAGAAGCAACCAGCATGTCTGAGCCTACAATGTGGGGAGGGCGGAATATAAGTGTAACAAAATAAAATATCAGCTGGACTAAAGCCATGTCCTTGATCCCTGAGTCATCTTCATTTTGCTTTGCAAGAAATACATTCTGCATATGGGTGAAAGCAACCAAAATATAGAACATGCTCAGAGCTCTTCATATGCACACTTTAGCTTGCAGTCCTTACAACAGATCTGCCAGGTATGTCAGTATTATCCCCATAGTGTAGATGGTGGTGCTGATGTTGAGAGTGTCATGTGATAGGCCACTGAGCTCATGGCAAAAGCAAATATTACTTACACTAACTGCAGAATTCTTCATGAACAGTTTTTAGCCACAGTTGTAATACAGGTTGCGTGCCCTTCCTCAAAGCAGAAAATTTGTTATCAGCATTTTAAGTTCTACAAATCTAGATCCTGATTTGAATAAACAAGGCTTTAAGAAAAAAACTTGATGAAGAGAGCCACGAAGTATTTTTGTATACAATTAATGTCGGATTCAAGTTTGTGAAGGTAAAGGTTTCGCTTGCTCGAAAGCCAGTCGAATCTGACTCTAGGGCTGCGGTGCTCATCTCCATTTCCAAGCTGAAGAGCCAGCGCTGTCCGAAGATGTTTCCGTGGTCATTTGGCCAGCTGACTAAACGCCAAGGCGCATGGAACGCTGTTACCTTCTCACCAAAGTGGTACCTGTTTATCTACTTGGAATTTTTTGCTTTCAAACTGCTAGGTTGGCAGGAGCTGCAACCAGAGATGGGAGCTCACTCTGTCATGCAGCACTTGGGTCTCGACCTTCCAGCCTGCAGTTCACCGTCTTAACCACTTGAGCCAACGCAGCTACCAGATTCAAGTTATGTGACCCAAAAATATGGGTGGTTTTAGAATTACCTTTGATGCAATGCTTGAAGAGAACTATTCACTCTAGTGGGTGTTTTTTTGTTTGTTTCGCCAGCCCATTCTTGATTGTCTGTTTTTAGCTTACATAAAAGATAATAAGGCTCTCTGAGGTTCCCTCTGTGCAGATTATGCCAGTTGCTTAATAGAGAAAAAGTGTTTAAATTGCAAAAACCTCCTCCATGAGGTTTAATAAACAGTTACTTTTGAATCATGCCACTGCCCTGCTTGCATTTAATCTGGGGGTTAGGTTATTGTTCCCTGTAGTATGCCATTTTTCCTATTGTAAATTGTTCTTGAAGTTTGCCTTTTACTCCAAAGTATAATTAGAAATCTATTATGTTTTATGAAGATGGTAACGCCAGGAAGAATAGGGGGAATTAATTTACATCTGTACGTTAAAGAGTACCTACACTGTGCTTTGATGGTTGCTGTGAACATTCTGCAGATGTAATTTTCATTTCTGTAGCTCCATTTATTCATTTTATTGTTATTTGTCAATAGTAGAAAGAGGAGGGGGAAGCCTTCCACCTCAGCTACTTAATTTGCACTGAGTATATTTACACAAGCGCGGTTGCACGGGTCAGCCTTCCTTCTTCCCACAGTGAGTGTATAATTTTTATTTTTGTTCCTCTGTTCCTTCAAGGAGCTCAGGGTAGGTAACATTTGTCTCCTCTCTGCTCCCCATTCTATCCTTATGACAATCCTGTCGGACCGTGACTGGCCTAAGGTCACCCCCTGAGGCTTTGGACCTAAGTTTGTTTTGACTTAAATCTCTCTCCATTATAATCTGTACAGAAATGTGATGTATTGGCCAGAACGATGCTCTTTACAGTTAGCAGAAATGGCTGGGAGTATGGAAGGCTTAGGTTACACACACACACATTCACCGCTGCCTACCGTTCTCTCTCCTACCACTTTCTACCACCTTGCACAAGACAATGAGTATCGACACAGATAAAAGGAAAACCATTTAGTTCTGGCCTCTTGGCACGCAAGCCAGGAGGCTTCCAATCCGAATCTCCCTTTTGCCACATTCACTCAGTGGCTTTAGGCAAACCCATTTATCTTATTAGCAGCCCCATATGGTTGAAACTTCCCTTGTAGACTTATTGAAAGGATTAACAAGGGAAGCGTGTGCTACACTGATCATTTGAAATATGCTAACTAATTGGTATTGGGGTTTGAGCGTGAGGGAGGAAAATGTGCTGCAGCCACCGGTGGGATCCGGCTAGAGCCTCTGTTGTCTTTCCAGATGCAGATGATAGAGAAGCAAATGGGACCTGCAGTGGTCAAGCCGCCATTGTTACGTGCAAGTGGGCTAGGTCCTCCTATGGCCTGCTGCTGGTATCTGACATTGCTGCCTGCTATCACTAAACAAGAACACATTTTGGTAATTATGCTCTGAACTAAGATCACTTACACTCCCCTACAAGAAGGCAGCTGTGTAACTAATATTGTTCCCCTGATAACTTTTAAGACTTCTTCAGGGCCATAAGATGAAGACACACCGAAGGATTGCTTGGACTTGACTGAGATCCAGATGACTAAAGGAGGGATACTGGCAGGGCACAGGGACAACAGCAGCCCTTTTCTATTTGTTCCTCAGCATCTGGGCCAGATCTGAGTGTGGCTAAATGCCACGACCTTCTCGGGGGTTTTAATTTTTCCTTGCCTACGAGCACTTGTTCTTTCCTCACTTGGCTCTGTGATCTGCACAATCAATTATTGCAATATAGGAATCAATGTATGAATCCATCCAGTGCACCCAAGTGCCCTGTTAATCCAGAGGGCTGCTCTTCAGATGAACCCCAACTACTGGGTCACAAACTCTTGAACCAGTGAGGGGTCTGTCTTTTGGAAGGACTTGCTGTCCATGTGCATGCGTGGAGAGCAGGGGCACCATGGTTCGTGCTTCTGTTTGCGCACATGCTGAGAGGAGCCGTAGAACAGTGAGACAGAATCACTTGGTGGAAAAGATTCCTCCAGGCCCCTCAGGCTTTGGCTTGCTCCTTGATACGGTCCGCATCCTGGTGTTCAGCTTGTATTTTGTGTTTCTGGTTTTTGTTTCGGGGTCTGCTTCCCATGATCCTGGCCTTCCCACCGGTGAGGTCATAACTCTGGGTCCTCTTTCTATGTATAGGGTTGCTAACCCCCAGGTGGCACCTGGAGATCTGCGGTTACAGTTGATCTGTAGATGACCCAGATCAGTTCCCCTGGAGAAAATGGCTGCTTCGGTGGGTGGGGTCTGGCATTGCACCCTGCTGAGGTCCCTCCCCTCCCCAAGCTCTGCTCTCCCAGGGCTCCACCCCCAAAACCTCCAGGTGTTTCCTAACCCAGAGCTGGCAATTCCATCTACTTTTGTACCTCTGATGATGTCATGTGGTTTGCAGTTCAGTGGATCCTAGGCGGAGAAAGGCCACTGGGCTATAGCAGTGCTTCAACACATTTCCTGAGGCATGGAGCAGCAGCTGCCCCGCAACTTGCCCTGATGCTGCCTTGGAACTATTTGTTCCTGCAACATGTTAAGGCGCTGCCCCATGCAGTGAGAGAGAATTACTGGTATTTGTTTATTGAAAGTCCCTCAGTTCATTCTGCATAATTAGATAGCAATAGACCCGACAAGAAAGAAGCTCTGGAGGATGGAGAGATTTCATTACGCTATTCTTTATTATATTTTATTTTTGATATTTATGAAGTTTATTATTAGAGCTGAGCATACAATTTTGCCTAAGGCACAAGCAGAAAAGGTTCTTTTTCAGGAGTCCCAGTCAGTCACATTTACAATGCTTGCCTCTTGAAGCACAGGAGACAAGCAGTTGTAAGTGCTATTTTCCATTGAAGCCTGTAAGGCAAGACTGTGAAAGAGCTGTGTCCGCTGCCTCAGGAAGATAACCTGTAATCCCAGTTCACTAGGGAGGGAAAGACACTCTGTACATTCTCCAAACTATTTCATCTTTGTGAACATTGAATTTTTTTCACTCCTGCAAAGAGACTTGAGGGTTAAGCAGCAGTGGCCGTCCAGCAGGCTTAACTAGAGCCAGTTTGGTGTAGTGGTTAGGAGTGTGGACTCTAATCTGGGAGAACTGGGTTTGATTCCCCACTCCTCCACATGCTCCTGCTGGTGTGACCTTGGGTCAGTTACAAGTTCTTTCAGAGCTGTTCTCTCAGGAGCAGTTCTTGAAAGAGCTCTCTCAGCCCCACCTACCTCACAGGGTGTCTGTTGTGGGGAGGGGAAAGGAAAGGGATTGTAAACCGCTCTGAGTCTCCTTCAGGTAATGAAGAGTGGGGTATAAATCCAATCTCTTCTCTCTGAATG